CACCCCAGACCAACCAGGCAAAGAAACATAGGCCAACAGCCTTTGCAGAGAAATGGGAATATATGTGGTGTCGAGGAATTCACCACAGGAGAGGAGGTATATGGGGCAAGGCCTTCAGTGCTGAGCACAGGACGAGATGAGACTTTTCCATAGAAAGATTTCTAGCAGTAATGGGATTAGGTACGAAAAAGACTTGAGCTTCAAGGAGTCAATTAATTCCCAAGGAAATTTACTTTGCTACTCTTTCTCTTGCTCCTTAATCCTCTTTTCGTCAATTAGATTGGAGAACTAAAAGCTATCTATATGCCGTCCATTGTTGGTGTTGTTTGGTGTTATTGAATTGACAAAGACTTGTAATGGTCCTTGTGTAGGAGAGAATGCATCCCTTTTCAGTCCTATGCCAGGCTCACAGTCTTCTGTGCAAGCCCACTGCTGGCGTCACTTTGCCAGCCCATCTCACTGAGGGTCTTCCTCTTATTCACTGGTCCCCCAATTTCCCAAGCAGGATGTCCTTTTCCAACAGCTGGCTTCTCCTGAGAGCAAGCCCTAAGCGTGTGAGATGAAGCTTCCCCTTCCTGTCCATATGGAGTTGCTGTTCTTTGGCTGGCCTGCCTAGCCCTGCCCAGACCCCGAGCTCAGCCCTTCACTGTCGAACAATTCATTGTAAACAATGAGCAAAAGCCAGTGCCGAAATACTTGAGCAAATAAGTGCCAGCATTAGCTTGGGGGAAAATCCTCTTAGTAAAATTACTCCATTTTTTTGTGCACTGGGGTGTTTTACAGTAGAGCCTTTACCTTATTTGCCAGGAGATGCTTGGCAGTGTGACGGAGGGAAATTGGCATGCAGTCCCTTCCAGTTTGCTAGGGGGTAAAGTAGATGGATGCCTGCGAGTGTTTGTAGAACATCACATCTGGTTTTAATTTCCAAGGCTTGTTACCTCAAACCTCTTTTAAAATGAGCTGGAGCATATGAAAAGATAAATACTAGTGAAGGTCAAACAGTACCGTATTCAAAGAAGGTGCAAAAGCTTGCCTCAGAAATGTCTGGGATTGTGTAAGAGGCAGTCAATGCTCCTGACAGTTGGTAAAACATCTAATCCTGGAATGAAAAGCCATAGAGGTTAGCCCAACAATCTGTTGCAAAATCAGTGCCTTGCCTAGGAGATCACTCCCTGTGACCGCTCAGAGATGTGTATACGCTCTCGAAGACAGCTACCTTTATGCTTACAGTGGCAAGTAAATGCAAAAGAAAAGCCGTCACTTGCTCACCTTTGAGGAATACATGTCTTTCAGATCCAGGGTCAACTCCTTAGAGACGGGACGTGTCCTGAAATGCTGTGGTGTCGTGTGTGCTGTTGTTAGTTACCATCAGGGTAGCGGGTAGCGGCGCGCGCAGTACGGTAACCTCTGCACGACAGAAGGAAGTGCTCCCTGAACCTGTGCTGGCTTTGCAAACGTCGGCACGTTTACATCCATTGCTGTGGCCATGAGTGTTTTGTACGCCTTCCAACCTGGGAGGATCAGTTTCTCACACTCTGTCAGACAAGCCTTAATGTTTTTATTGGCTGATTCTTTTAAAAAGTAGATTTGCAGAGCTTTCTTCCTGGTTTGGAAGCTCTGCTAAAGCTGTGTGACCCGCTGGTGTTTGGAATACTGATGGTTCAGCTTCTGACATCCCGCAGTGTGCAGGCCACCATGGGACAGCAAGCTGTCAGATGGGCGGTAGGGTGCAATGTGTAGAAGAGGTGATAGTAAAGGGTCCTCTGCATTGTGTGTGCCTAAAATCCTCACTGAGGGAGTCAGGTCTCTGGGGAAGGTATTATGTCTCCGGGATGTCCTGCCTGGAAAGGGAATGTGCTTATAATGAGAATACTAAGGATTTTCTTCTCACTTACACAACCGGCTTGGTCCATTCTGAGACTACTGTCCATTATTTGTTACTATCTGGAAAGCAGTGCCCTGAGGGTCTAGCCACACCTTGAGGGAGATTTTGCTTCAGTATTGCATTGCCAATATTGGTATAGCTCTGGCGGCCTAGTGGGAAGGAGTTGCACTGATAATCCAAAAGCATGTGATTCAAATTCACCAGCTGCTCCACAAGAGAAAGATGAGTAGTCTCCTTCTGTGTGAATTACTGCCTCTGAAAGCCCCTGGAGCTATGAGTTGGTTCTGACTAAGGGCACATAACACTAAGAACATTGTCGTATCAAAGTAGGCTGTCCATCCAGATGAGCTGTCCTGGGCTAGGACACTGACAGAAGGGCTGGGCTGAGACATTGGGTGTCAGATGAGCCTCAGATCCTGTGCGAGTGGACAGGAGTGTGAGTGCGGCGAGGCTTGATTGCACACAACCACTGAATTGTTCCCCTCAAACCCGTGTGATTTTTTGCCTTGGAAAGCCACTGGAGGGCCAGCCGTGCGTCAGTTCTAACTAGATGGTACTCAAGAACAACAGCCCCACCATGCTTGGGCCTAGTAAATGGAGGAGGGAGGTGCCTTTGTGACGTGGACACCGACCTCACTTGCTGATTGCTCCTGGGCGGGCCTGGTGCTCACAACTTGACCTGCTTTGTCATGGAGCACATAAGGATTTCCTCTACCATTTTACTTACAGTAGCTTGTTTAATTCTTAGAATAATTCCAGCAGTTTATTTCTATTTAATTTCAAACACTTAAGTGATTGCCTCCGATCCTCCTAGTTCATACGTGCCAGTTTTAAATTTATCTTTGTCCATAGCCTGTGTTATTTCCACTCCATTTGAACTCCTCAGACCTTTCCCCTGTGCAGTTCTAACATGTAACAGCATGTGAGTTTAAGCCACACTGGCTTCAAGTGGGGTAAGAGTGGGGGAAGGACTGTTAACTGCACATAGCCCACCCCCACCCCCACCTGACCTAGAGCACAGCAGAGCATTTCTTCCAGAGGTCATTTACGTCTCAGGATCACACAGCCCGTTGCCCTTGAGTCAATCCTGATTCATAGCAGCCTACAGACAGAGGAGACTCCCTATAAGGTTTCCACAGCTGTGACCTTTAGGGGAATAGACCACGACTTTCTCCCACAGAGTGATGAGTGGCTTCCAGCCACGAATCTTCACCACATCCTTGATCTTCTGTTTATCTTTAAGTTGTAGTGCATTGCTGTCAAGTTGGAACCAACTCATAGCTGACCCTCCAGCAATTTCCAGAGGCTATAAAACACCCAGGAGGAGATTGCCCATCTTTCTCCCACAGAGCACACGGTAGGGTTGAACCTTCTGCCTTTGGGTTACTGCTAAACTCATAAAAGTTAGTAAGTCCAGAATACCCTTTGAAATAATGTTTCTCTTTTCATGGATTTCCTCTTTAGCTACTCTGCATATTCATTCAGTAGAACTGTGACCACATTCGATAGGGCTGCAAAGTCGCCAGTAATTAGTTTCTGTTTTTATGTATAGAGGAGTTGCACTGCCAATTTGAAGGCACATGATTGAATCTACCAGTTTCTTTGTGACAGAAAGATGGACAGTCTCTTCCCACATGAGTTACTGCCCCTGAAAACGACTAGAGGGTCAGCTGTGGGTCAGTTTTGATTCGAGGATACATACAACAAAATGCTCATCACAAGAAGTAGGAGAAGTCTGAATCTGTATAATACCATATTAAAATGCCCACTTTCATACTGAACTCTCATTTTAGCTTTAAAGAGATCCTTCTAAGAGGCTTCTTTCTTTGTCTAATCTGGCAGAAGATTTATTTAAAATCTAGAGTTGTTATTGTTATGAGTAGGATGGTATATACCTAGGGAATCTTCTGGTGGTGAATTTGAACTGTGCACCCTTGGGTCACTAGCATGACTCCTTACCACAAGGCCACCAGAGCGCTCTTGCTTCTAAGAAAATGCAAAATGTCATTTGTAGAATGTGAGTTCTCACTGAGGGTCTATAAGATTAAGTCATTGACTCATGTCCATCAGAAAGTCAGTGCTGCTGAAAAGTGGATATATTGAGTCTTCTTGTACTTTTTTTAAATTTTTTTTTAATTTTTCATTTCAATGAACATCTAGAGAGATTTTGGAATTCTATTCATTCATTGTTGCACCCTTCCCCCCGCCCCCCGTTTGCTCCTCTCCTTGAAAAGCAAAAGAAAAACACTGTTCCCCTCACTTACAATTTACGTACACAAGGTGTGTTCTTTTTCCGGAAAGAAGCATGGTGGTTTTTAAATAAGGATATTTTATTCTTCATGTGATTACTACGTATAGGCTTGGATGACTTTTAATTTCTTCAAATGTTTCCCAACTCACACTCACAAACTCTCTGTGTCTGTGTGTGTGTGTGTGTGTGTGTGTTTTCACAGATGTCCAAGATTCAGATGGCTTAAAAGCTCCTTCTTCTAAAACAGAAATCTCTGTTCATTTCATACTAATATTGAAGCCACTCAACAAAGTTAATGTTTTAAATTGAACTACTCACTTAGTTGCTTAGTGGGAGCTCTGGTGGCCTAGTGGTAAGGAACTATGCTGCCAGCCTAAAGGCCCATGATTCATATATGCCACCTGCAACATGGGAGAAAGATGGACAATCTCCTCCCATGTGATTTACTGCCTCTGAAAACCCACTGGTGGGTCAGCTGTGGATCGGTTCTGACTCAACAGTACATAGTAACAACTTACTCTTTAATCTAGTTTAATAAACAGCTGTATTTGTTTCATTACTAGACTTTAGGAGTATACAAATAAGAGTAGGAATAAAGAATAATTCTTTGGAAAATGAGACCCCTCTAAAGTGCAGGCTTCGTTAGAATAGAGTTTGTTGATGTAAACAGAATTTCCTCAGCTGAGGTACCACTTAGGTATTTTTGTTCCTCAAATGTGTTTCCAGGCAGCTTATCTGTGCAAATAAGGGGTACTTGCACCCCTCCCCTGCACCTCAGAGCTCTTCAGCATTTTCGAGACATTAATTTTGCTTTTGTTTTTTCTCTGATGAAGACAATGCATCCTTAACTGGGGTTAATAACAGATTGGGAAGAGGCTCTGGCGACGTGCCAGGCAATCATAAGGACCAGCTCAGAGTGGCTTCCCGACACCAACATCTACCAGCTGAAGGTGCTCGACTGCGCTCTGGACACGTGTATCCACCTGGGCCTGTGGGAGGAGGCGCTGCTGTATGGTACCCGCACCCTGGAGCCATACAGGTGAGTCCAGGCCAGCACTCAAGTGGTTGATTATTACTTTACGATGCATTTTCCTGGCTACTTCTCAGTTGGTGTGTGAAACCAAACATTGCTTTATTCACGCCTTTATTCATCCCTTTCTATGATCACTTGTCATTTGTAAAACTCCTTCCACGTATCAAGTACTCTAAGTGGGCAGAATTAGATGCTATCTTGATGTGGAACACATGCTCATAGTATTTTACAGCTCGCAGTGAGAGGCAAATATAGGGTGCTTTCAACTGAGAGGGGCGCACAGACCAAGACCTAGCTTGGGGCCTGTGAGCCTCTGCTGATCCAGGTGGGGATAGTCATTGTGGGGCCTTCTGTCCAGCTGATGGTCACAGTGGTCCCTCCCAATGGGTAGTGCTTTCTGGACCACAGGCTACTTCTGTGCGAGTCACTTGCCCTCACAGCTAGCTCATGACCTTGGCATGAGGGCATCGTTCATTGAGTCGGGTAAAGTAAGTGTTGGTGAGGAATCATTTCTTCATTGGTCTCAGCTCCTCCATCCAAGTGGGTGCCTCACCCTCAATGTCTTGTAACTCTGAGGAACTTTGCTTCAGGAAGGTGGTGTGGACATCCAGAACTGATACATCAATCCTGGTGGGTTCTGGACCTTCATTGACAGTGGGTTAAGTACATTGGTTTGGAAGAAGAGATTGGTATCAGTACACAAACAAGTGCTGTAGGCTGAGGTTGGAATAGACCAGTACCCACCATCAGGGAAGATAACTGAACAGCTGTTTCCCAAAACATCTGATTGTGAGGAGGTTTGAGGGTGTCTCCCTGGAAAGCAAATGTTCCATTCTAGATAGAAATTGAAATTCCAGGTCTACTGGCCCTGCCCACATGATGTTGACCCAAAGAGGCTAAGCAGAGGGCAAATCCATGTCTGAGACAAACAGGAGAACTGACAGAGGGGTGATTATAGATGAAGAGGGAAGCTAGAACCCAGCATACTCCTAACTCCCACGAAAGGAAGTCTCAAGAAGCACCTGAAGGAGAAGTTGCCAGGATTAACATAGCAAGAGAAGTGAATAAAGGTTGTTGGCGGTGCCGCCGAAGCAACTCTGTGAACAGATCTAAACCCTGTCCTGTCCTGCGCCATTCTCCTCATCCTCCTCACCATTGCTGCCATCACTGTGACAGTCTATCTCATTGAAGGTCTTCCTCTCTTTCACTGATGCTCTACTTTGCCAAGTTTGATGTCCTTTTCCAAGGAATGACTCCTTTTAACAGTACTCCCAGAATGTTCAATGAAGCTTTGTCATCCTGTCTCCAAGGAACACTCTGGCTGCACTTTCTCCATATATGTTTGTTCTTTTTGTAGTTCATGGAATATTCGTCACCCTTCTCCAATACCACAACTTAAAGGCATCAGTTCTTCTATTATCATTATTTATTGTCCAGTCTCAAATGCATAACAAGTGATTAGAAAGACCACAGCCTGGATCAGGTCAACTTTAGTCTTGAACCTGACATAACTACCTGGCCAACTGACTGGAAGAGACCCATTTCTGTTCCCATCCCAAAGAAAGGTGACTCAACAGAGTGTAGAAATTATCAAACAATATCATTAATATCACATGCAAGCAAGATTCTGTTGAAAATTATCCAAAACCGACTGGAACAGCAGATCAACAGAGAACTGCCAAAAATGCCGGCTGGCTTTAGAAGAGGCTGTGGTACTAGGGATATTAGAGCTAATGTTATGGATCTTGGCTGAAAGCAGAGAGTACCAGAGGAATGTCTATCTGTGTTTCAGCGGTTATGCAAAGACATTTAACTGTATGGATCACAACAAATGTGACTAACTTGAGGAAAATGGGAATTCCAGAACACTTGATTGTGCTTATGTGAAATCTATACTTGGAGCAGAAGGCAGTTGTCAGAACAGAGCATGTTATAAAATTGGGAAGAGTGTTTGCAAGACATGTGTCCTGTCTCCATACCTTTTCAATCTATGTGCAGAACAGATCATCCAGGAAGCTGGGCTCTATGAGGAGGAATGTGGCATCAGGATTGGAGGAAGACTATCAACAATTTGTATTATGCATATAACACAACCTTCCTTGCTGAAGCTGAGGAGGACCTGAAGCACTTGCTGCAGAATGTCAAGGACTGTAGACTTCAATATGGATTGAAGCTCCACATCAAGGAAAAAAAAAAGTTCTGACCACTGGACCAAATTGGCAGCATCATGATAGATATTGAAGAGATTGAGATTGCTAACAGCTTCGGTTTGCTTGGTTCCACAATCAATACTCTTGGTACTATTGTTGTTGTTGTTATGTGCCATCGAGTCGCTTGCGACTCATAATGACCCTATGTACAACATCCCTAAACCCTGCTCTGTCCTGTGCCAATCGCACCATCTCCGACACACCCATCCCAATTACCCCAGTCACTGAATCAATCCACCTCATAGGGGGCCTTCCCCTTCTGCGCTGTCCCTCCACCCTACCAAGCATGCTGTCCCTCTCCGAGGACCTGTCCCTCCTTGAAACATGTCCAAAGTATGTTAGACGGAGCCTTAGAACCCTTGCCTCCAAGGAGCAGCCCAGTTTGACCCTTTCCAGGATGAATCTGTTTGTTTTCCTAACAGTCCATGGTACCCTCAGTACTCTTCTCCAGCACCACAGCTCAAAGGCATCAATTCTCCTTCTATCCTCCTTAGTCATTGTCCAACTCTCTGATGCATGACAAGTGATAGCAAAGACCATGGCCTGTATCAGACACACCTTAGTCTCCAGAGAGACACCATTGCTCTTCAGTACTTTGGAGAGGTCCCTAACAGCAGACTTTCCCATGGCAATACGTCTTTTAATTTCCTGGTTGCTGGTGCCGAGAATGTTGACTTTGGAGCCAGGCAAACTGAAGCTGTGTACAATCTCAATCTCTTCACCATCCATCCTGATGCTGCCAATTGGCCCAGTGGTGAGAATCTTTGTCTTCTTGACATTGAGCCTCAATCCATATTGGAGGCTACAGTCCTTGACCCTCTGCATCAAGTGCTTCAGGTCCTCCTCACTTTCAGGAAGCAGGGTTGTGTCATCTGCATAACGCAGATTGTTGATAAATCATCCACCAATCTTGACCCCACATTTCTCCTCATAGAGCCCAGCCTCCCGGATAATCTGTTCGGCATACAAGTTAAAAAGGTATGGAGACAGGACACATCCCTGGCATATGCCCTTCCCAATTTTGAACCATGCAGTGTTTCCTTGCTCTGTTCTGACGACTGCCTCTTGGTCCACGTATAGGTTTCTCATTAGCACGATCAAGTGTTCTGGTATTCCCATTCTAGAAGCCAGGAAATTAAAAGATGAATTGCATTGGGAATTTCTGCTGTCAGGGACAACTCCAGAGTACAATGATGTCAGTCTGGAGACGAAGGTGTGTCTGATCCAGGCCATGGTTTTTGCAGTTAGATGCTATGCATCGGAAAGCTGCACAATGACTAAAGGTAATTGAGGAATTGATGCCTTTGAGCTGTGGTGCTGGAGAACAGTATTGAATATACCATGGACTGCTAGGAGAACAAACAGGTTTGTCCTAGATAGGGTGAAACCAGGCTTCTCCTTGGAGACAAGGATTATGAAATTCCTTCTGACATACTTCGGGCATGCTTCAAGGAGGGACCAGTCCATGAAGAGGGACATTATGCTTGGGAGAGTGGAGGGACAGTGCAAGAAAGGAAGACCCTGGATAAAATGGATTGACTCAGTGACTGAGATAATGGAGGCAGGAGACAATAAGGTTGGCTCTGGATAGAGCGGGGTTCAGAGCTGTTGTATATAGGGTCACTATGAATCGCAGGTGACTTGATGGCACATAACAACAATTGTTACTAATTCCTTTGAGTGTCAGAGATGATACGTATACAGCAGGATTCAGGTTGTTATCAGCCATACTTGACTTGATGACACCTAAGAACAACAACTTTAGAGGGGTCCTTAACAGCAGTCTTTCCCGGTGGAACCCAGAAATGAAACACTTGGTCAGGGAGTCAGACTTGGGCCAATGGTTAGTGCAGGCATAGAGGAAGCAGGAGATGGCAGAGGGCCCACAGGTGAGCCTTGGCACCAGGGTGACCCCAGTCATGTTTTCAGAACTCCTGTAGGTGATTTCTTCACTTGCTTGTGGGTGACCAGCTTTGGAATCCAGACAGTGAGTCAGCTTTCATCAAATTGAGCAGAGCTGGGACTGAAGACTTTCCCACGAGCTTGGAGATGTCTGTTCAGTGTGATGAATCTTGTGGCTTCTCAGAAAATATGAATTGAATACAAAGAGATAAGACTTCATTCTCTGAACCTCGATGTTGCAATGAGAGGCAGGGCCCAGATGGTTGCCAGTACCTTTCTGAACTCCTGGGCTTGTTCTCAGGAAGCCAAACCACAGGCAGCTGGGTGAATGGATGGATCTCAGCCAGCAGATGCGGATTAAGAAAACCCTGTTGCCTCCAGGCTCAGCTCAGCTGCCGGCCAGCCAGGCCCCTCTGTGGACAAGTGCTAAGCATGCTCTTAGCTCCTCTCCAGCCCATCCTGAAGTGCAAAACTTGGAAGCTGATCCATCGGGTGAGCTAGCGTCCATTGCTGCAACCTGAAGGCTTGCTCTGGGCTGGACTTGGCTGGAGGAGACAGATACTCAAAGTTGCCAAGTTGAACAGAAGATTCTTCAGTGAAAGGGACTTGCTTGTTTCCTCTGAGTACTGGTTTGATGGCAAACCAGAAATTGAGTATCTAAAAGGGAGATTTTAGGATTTGAGGCCTTATGATAAAAATATTAATGATTGTTAGTACCATGATAATCATGAATTTTAATGATAAAAATATTAATAATTTTTTTTAAACCCAGATCTTGGATGTGATCCATCATACCCTTCAGGATGCCCGTTCTGCACATGTTACTATTGTTAGGTGCCATGAAGTCGTAGGCAACTCATAGAGACGGCTGTGAACAAAAGACCTGAACACTTG